CTGCCAATGCTCCCACGAAAGTTGAGAGTAATTAGAATAACTCTAGTGGCATCAATTGTCACAAACGGTTGGAAGCAGACTGTGGCGACTTTCTGATACATGCCATTGGCAATTTACTATCGAAACGAATGAACGAATAGTGCAGAAATTGGCTGTCTCATTGGTACAGTAGAAATCTCATGCTTTAGCATAAGAGTGGGCTCTGCAGCTAAGTTATTTGATATTATAATGTCTTTGCATATCATATTTCAGTCTAAAATATGCTGATTTAATTCGTGAAAGATATCGCGTAATATATGAAATAATGATTAATGTTTTTGTTAAAAATAGATTAAAGGCCAACTGCGTTACTATGACGCAGTATCCCTGTTCCTGGTTCAAACTTTGACCACCCTACCCTCATTAAACTTTCGATCTTTTTCCCCTGGGGTACAAAAGCACTCCTACCCATCGCCGGGAACGCCACTACCGATCTACTACTTCTACATAACTGATACTCCTATTCTTGGGAGCTTCGGCTCCCCAGAGCCTCACCTCCTTTTATGCATTATCCTTTCACTTTACTATGTATAATAAACATGTATATAGGACGCGACGTGTTACACACACATACACACGCACCTACAAACGGGGCACACACTAGTCTAATAAAATAACAATTCGGGTCGCGATAAAGAGAAAGCTGGGCACCGGAAAATATATTGGATAAGCAGTGGGTACTAACTGGAAGCATGCAGCTCAGGATCGATCAGCCTGGAGTAAGTGGGCAAACATTCCAGCAAAATCTCTACTATGGAATACTCACGTTAGCTGTCTTGAGGGGCTTGGTAATTCTGGATTATTACGATTTTGTGCCAAAAAAATAAGCCAATTCAGGCGGATAGAAAAATCGATGAAATGCAAGTGAATGTTGCAGAGCACTTACCATATAACCAAATGCATGTATAAAAGAGAAATCGCCAAGCAGTTTCGGCCACCCGTTTGAATTTCCCTTTGCCAGTATGACAAAAATTGAGGTGAGCTTTAATACGAATCGCTAACGGCTCTCTGATCCAGCCAAAAAACCAACCAATCGGCAAAAACACAAAGCATTCAACGGCAAGCCTTAGCAGCAACAGCACTACGCTATATCTGAAAAAAATCATGAACTACTGATGAGGTCCAATTGTGGTAATGGTAAGAAATGTATACGACTTAATGGACCGGAAAATTTTGTTAAAATAATTTCACAATATTTTTTTTCTCTTCCACTCTCCATCCTATTTCAAAATACCCTTCCATTACCATGAAACACAACAAATTACAGCCTTGAACATGCCCCAGAACACTGGAAATGTTCCTGTAAATGATAATGCATCTCTTCGGAAAGGACTGTCACCAAGCAGTCGTTTACTTTTTCGCCGATACCAGTAAAGTCAGAAATAAAAAATCACGATACTGTCTTACTTGAAAAATCACGATAATAGTCTTGTTTTCACAATAAATCACGATAAAAATACTTGAAAAATCACGATAATAGCCTTGTTTTAAATACACAATGACATACTTCATGGCATAGCTCAATTCCCAGATATCGGGATAGTGAACAGTGCCATTGGATTTGAGATCATTCCAGGAAACACCGCGTGGAAGCCAAAACCGCTCCGACCAGAACATTGCGCGATCCGTTCGCTCAGTTCGCACCGGCTTCACACGCACGCACACACCCTCAGAACCTGAAATCAACAAGTCAAAATTCGCAAATTTCGATAAAAACATGCATCACGTCCAAGTCTGCAAGTTAGTTCATCGTCCACTCGGACAGGCAATGCTTAGAAGCATGCTGATGGCCAAAAACCCACCCCAACAATATCTCGAGATAGGCAAAACCGTGCCAAACTGCTTCTAATGAGACAACCGTTGAGCTAACAATCTCTTCAGGAGACGAAACGAACGTCAGGACCACCAACGTCAGCAGCCAATAGGCTGTCCACCAGGCATGAGAAACGCTGTCACGATTCGAAGGATCCGAAAATAATGATAAAAAGAGTCCCGGCCCATATCTCCCTTATAAGGACCCTTTTGAAGCATTTACAGGTGACAATTGGGAAAGTTGTCTTCAGCTGCACAACTGAAGGATAAGACTAACAGCTGTTCCAAGTATTTCAGGTATCTATCGCGTAGGTGTAGCAATGGGAAAAGAGGAGGAAAATCTGCTGTTGCCTGGAAATAAGTTGAAAATGAGTTCCGTTACTCGGTTACAGTCATAGGCGGATCCAGGGCGGTCTCCTGGGGAAGGAGAGGGGGGAGGCAACGGTGTTGGGAATAGGGAAGGCAAAA